AGCCGGTGTGAGCCGCCAAACCCCCGCGATGTGAGGGCAGAGACGGTCGGGGCGCGCTGTGACCTGCACCGCGGGGCGCCCGGGGGGGCAGTGCCGGGTTGTAGCCGAAGTCAAGGTGAAATAATCACTGTTGCCTGAATAGGTCTGGCCGCAGGTGGTTTCATGCGTTAATTAAACATTTCTTTTCAAGGCGTCTCTCTGAATTCGGGTCGTGAATATGCAGTAGCCTGGGGTGAATTCAGCTGGCCTTGGTGCGACGTCTCTCGCCTGGACGCTGTGAGGCCTGCAGTGATGGAGGCACTGCCTGAGCTCTACGCCATCTTCCAGGGAGAGGTGTGCGGTGACCCTGGGGGGTGTTACGGCCTGTGGCATGCTTCTTTGTCTTTTTATTTTGTTGTTTTAGTCGCTGCTTAGTTCAGTGGCAGTTTGGGTAACTGATGGTTCTGTACCACAGATACAAACATATGTATTTGTATGTTTATGTACATACATATAGATATATATGCACGTGGGTGTAAGATGCTTACCTGAATAAGGTAGGAGTGGTTGGCTGACCACACCTGCTCCAGAGTTATCAAGCATTGCAGTGTCTAACCTGCCTTGAAATCTAAAACTGAAGCAAAGCGGGAGAGCTGTGTAGGCTTTTTGTGCGTGTTCTAGTCCGTGGTTTGAAAACAGGTGTTTTGTGAAGGGTTTTCCTTAGGTGTTGTGTTGGTTTACTTTACAGGTTGCTACAGTGACAGAATATGGGGCATTTATAAAAATCCCGGGCTGCAGAAAGCAAGGTTTGTTTCTCTTATTTTGTGCAGATGTAGTTTCATGCTGGTGTGTTTGAGCCAAGCAGTCACCCTTGGATTTAAATGCTTGCCAGCTTTCTGAAAAAGCTCAGAAAAAGTTTATTTTCTAAATAGGAAGAAATTGAAGTTCTTGGAAAGTATTTAAATATGATGGTATGTTTACATGAATAGTTTGCCCTCTAGTCTTCTTGGTAGCTTAAGGATATTTAAGAGAATCATTTTAAGGTATTGGACAAACCATGGAAACTTTCTATAGTTAGATAATTTGTCTAACTTGCTTCTTTTATGACCGATACAAATGAAGCTCAAATGAAAAAATAAACCAGGAAAGCTAACTTAAAGCTCCATCTGTGTTTGTGGGAAACCTGCAAAGTCACACAAGCTCATTTTACAAAAGAAAAAGTTTACGATGGGTTTTCTGTCAGATGCTGACAGGGCTACAAATAAGCTCTTCTCCACTCCCCTCTTGAAGTGCCCAGTCACTGTAATGCCAGTTTTAATGAAAGTTTTTGGACAGAAGTCTGACTGCAGGAGGGAAGTCGCTTTGAGACACAAACGGGCTCCAAAATAAAAGCTTGAACAGCAAGGTGTGTTTCCGTATTTATCCTTTTTTGTATAACCCTATAGCCTACATGTCATTTGTGCGAATTAAAAATATGATTTTGGGGCTGTGTGACCTTGCAAGTGCAGGAGATCAGGGCAGCCTTGGTGTTTCATGCTTTTGACTTTGCCAGTGAAATATTGTGTTCCTGAGACGTGAAAGTCTTTATTCTCCAGTGCTTGGGGTGGCCTCAGAGGACAAGCAGGAAGGGAGAGGTGTTAGTGCCTGCTACAGTTTTCTGTATGGGCACCTGATATTTTGTGTACAAAGATGTTGCTTTGGGGGCCTGCTTCTCTGAGTTAATTTGGAGCAGATCTTGATTAGCTTTTACGTTTTGATTGATGCAACTGGTTGATTCTCACCTGCATAATGTACTGGAGGAAAGAAACAGTTGGTTTTGCTTAGGGCAACCACTGACTACGTTCCCTGTATCCCAGAGCAGTGGTCTCCAAATGTTTTTGATTGTGCACCCCCAGTGCACGATCAGTTAAAATCGGTTAACGTTTTTGAGCGCACACCCCCTAATATATGTATATTTATTTATAAATACATGTACTGCTGTGCTAATGTTATGTACGTTATAAAACATACTCAAAAATAGGAATTAAACAAGGATGAACTAAAGATGAAATAAGCACTATTAATTTTTTTATTTTATTAATGGTACAAAAATATTTTCTTCCCACACCCCAAAGGATTGTCTTGCATCCACCCTGCTTTAGAGACTGCCCTCTTAGAGGGCAAAACTGAGATTCAGTGGAGACTTGTCTTTATTTTTTCCCTTTCTTCTCTTCCAAAACTGTGACCAGGCCTTGTCCATAAGACTCACATGTCCTCCTGCCGTGTGGATAAACCCTCAGAGATAGTAGATGTTGGAGACAAAGTATGGGTGAAGCTTATTGGAAAAGAGGTAACATTAAATCTTGATTCTTACTGCTGTGTAGATAAAATATGCTGCAAAACAACTGAGAACTTGGACGCACAGAGGCTGTGTGTTCGTGTCACTTTGTTTTACAGACAGGTGAATTCTCTACCTCCAGATGTGACTTTGGGCACATCGCTTCTGTGACTCGTAACAATGCAATTCAGAAAAAGGGACTGCGTAAAAGCTTTTGGTTTAAAAGCAACAAAATGGTTCACTTTCTTCCCCTTTGCAGCTTGTGTCACCTTAATTGTGTGTTTTGGTGGCTAAATGAGCAATTTGAGAGGATCCCAAGATAAAAGCTGATATAAACACAGTTCATTAACTGTTCTGAGAGACAAGCACATTCTTAGAGGAAGCCCAGATTTTTGTTTGTTTGTTTTCAAGAAAGTGTCAGTGGCAGTGAATTATGCCCAAGAGGAAGTACAGAGGGTTTTTGGTTGTTTTGAAGTAAAAGCATGATACTTCCCCCCCCACCCTGCCTTGCTTTTTCTTCTGAAGAAGATATGACAATAGGTATATGGTCTGTATTTAAAGATTACTTGGAACAAAAATGAAAGACCCTTGTTTTGGTGAGCCGTGGAAACAAAACAAACTGACTGTATTTTTGGATCGAGCTGGAAGCATTCAATTCAGAGTTGCACAGGATTTGGCCAGGAATGCTTTGCTTTTCTGTTTTTAAAAGAAGATAATCAGATTGATATACAAAACAAGGACTTAATTTTGTGTGAGATAAGGGGAACAGGTTGAGAAACTTGTTCTTATGTACACATTATAGAAAAACTACATGAAAGACTTCACAGATGGCTGAAAAGAATCTGTAGTGTGCTTTTATTTCTTATTTTTTATTTTAATTTTGTTCATATACATTTCTGTTAAGCCACTGTTTTCTTTATCTGGAGCACACAGTTGGGCTCCTGGCATCTTTGCTGTAGAGGCAAAGGGCAGAAGCATGTTGGAGAGGTGGACGGTGAAAGATTGTTAGATTGCCTGCAAATAACTGCATGCATGTCATAAACAGACAAAACAGAAATGCCTTCAATAGCAGCATTGGTGAAAATGTGGAAAGTTGTAAGAAAGGCTTTAAAAATGCCCCAAACATACAACTTTTACTCTTGCTTCTGAAGTGATAATGTGACACTCAAAGACTTACTAGGTTTCAGAAAAAGTAAGCCCCTAATAGGGATACTTAAAATATTTTTAGTCTCCTAAGAGGATCAAAATAGGAAAAAGGGTGTAAAGTTTTCTTTTTCAGGATACAAGTTGGCCAAAGTACTGGTCCAGGAGGAACTGTCTTGGGACTGAATGTTTGAGAACTATAGCAAAGCTTCCAGATGTGCACTTTCTCCTCCTGCTCTTGGGAATGTTAATCTGAACAGACCTATAGTTTGAGCTTGTCTTATTACTGAGGTAGTTGCTTAACAGAAGCTGTTTTATTAGCTAGAATACTGTAAATGTAACTACAAAATAATAGAACCAAGACACTTTCATGTAGTGCGTTTTGTAGTGCTGCTTTCTGCTAACTGACATTTTCCTTCTCTATAGGCCTCCAGTCACAGTGTATTAATTAACATCATTGTCATTTACTCTTCTCTTTCCATCTCTTCCTCTTTCAGATGAAAGATGACAAACTGAAGCTTTCCCTCTCCATGAAGGTTGTTAACCAAGGCACGGGAAAAGACCTCGATCCAAACAATGTTTCTCTTGAGTAGGTAAATCTACTGAGTAGAATATAACAGATCAGACAGGTTGATACTACCTGCTATTTCCCTGCCGTATGTTCCTGGCTTACCTGCCGTACTTATTCTCTAGGTCCCACCTCCTTTGGAGGCTGAGGGGGCTCTTCCTGAGCTCCTTAACAATGCGCTGGCTGGCCGGAGGGTTGACTGAAGGCATTTCCTTGGTTATGCTGCCTAAAGGCAGGCAGGAACCAGAGGAGGCTGCAGTGAATTCCAGCCCTTTGCATCACGGCAGGATTTTCATTCTTCTGTTGTAAGGGCTATGTGCTTGTGCTGGAAGGAGTGTTCGTTATACCTGGACATTTGTCTCACTTTCACATACTACAAAATCAAATCTTAATTGCTTGGATGTTTCAGAGCTTCTTTGTGTACTTTTTTTTTGCGACATCTCTTGCAGGTCAAATAAAATTGCTCTATTTTCATACTGGGCAAGTATATATATGTGTGTGTTCATGTACAAAATACAGATATTGGTATAAAAGACATAACTGCAGCTCCCTCCATTTGTCTGTTTTGTGTAGAGAGTGCTCAGTTAATCTCAAAAGTAAAAGATGACAGGTGATACAGTGTTAATATGATTTATTCTAATGAGCAGTTGGTCAGCTCGTTCTTTGGCTTAGCTAAGTGGTACTTTTAGAGCAACATTTGAAAAAACTTGTGTTTAGGTTGTGTCCATAGAAATATACAGGATTAAAGATGAGAGTAAATTGAAAATGGAACTGTCCTTCTCCTTCCAGTCAGGATGAGAGGAAAAAACGCACGTTCCGAGACTACACGAGTCAGAAGATCACGCTTGAAGCTGTCTTGAACACCGTGTGCAAGAAATGTGGTTGCAAAGGTATGTTTTATGCAGGGCTGTCTTGTTCTTTTGATGTAGCCTTGGTCTAACCAGATTGTGACCTGTAGATAGAGTTGTATCAACATCTCTCTCATCGTTGTGTATAAGGACTGAATTTTGCTTCCATGTGCCTCTCTTAGAGGAGAACTGCATTTTCTGTCACTTCTTATGAAAAGGCGAGACTTAACTGAACTCCTTTTATAAAGATTTGTTTCTTAAAATCACATCCGTTTGAGCTTCCTGTAAAGAACTTTCCTACTGAGTACAGGTTCAGTACAGGTTCCTGTCTTGCAGTATTTATGTTAATGTGTCTTACAGCTGAGGTCTCATTCTAGTTTTGCATTTGAGAAATAAACATATGCGTTCCCCAGATCATTTCATTATGAAGAACAATCAGTGGGAATTACTGATCAGTTGTTGGGAACACAGTATTAGCTTGTGAGAGAGCTGAAAACAAGTGTTTGTTTGTTTTGTTTTTTTAAACTGGTGAAAATTTCGTGTTTTACCTAGTTCAGCAGTAGGAAGTTGACTTACATTATGCCTTTGCAGTAGCATTTTGCAAGTTGCTGAGGCATAAAGTAGTTTTTGTACATGGAGTTTTTTACTGCACCCTACTTGTCTTACATTATTTAGCCGTAGAGTAAATAGTTAAGCCGGAGTTAATGGAGAAGGTTAATAATGAATATGCTTCTCTGTAGTGGTAGATAACCATCTTTAAAATACCATTTTTAAAGAACCCCCCAAACTTTAAACTGAATTCTGCATATTTCCAGTCTGCTTTTTAATGATGATACCTACTCATAACAGGCAGGCAGATGCTATCTATCTGCAGTTTCCACTACAACTGTTAGTAGGTCAGCTTTGATGTCTCCAGAGTAGAAAGTATAGAACCAGAATGAGCTGCTTTCCTCTACATTTGTGGCTTTGGTCTCATTTACCAATTTACTCCCTTTCCCGTACACTTTTCCATGCTATTTAAGCCCTTGCACAGACATGTTTCTACCAATTGCCCTGTTCAGACAAGAGTCTCTTAGTTTTTGCTGGACTAATCTTTCCAGAATGACCTGGGTTTGGTCTCCAGCTTGTTTAATCAGGACATGTTAAACTAGCGGAAATACTAGGACAAAAAATGTACAGTGTAGATTCTTCTATTGTGACTAATAATAAAAAGATCATTGCTAGCTCTTCAGGTGTCTGAAACAGAGGGGTTTTTTAAAAAAAAAAAAGGGGGGGGGGAATGGGTTGCTCCTTCAAACACTATTTTACAGGTCATTTTGCCAAGGAGTGTTTTGTGCAACCCGGAGGCACCAAATATAGCCTCATTCCAGAAGAGGAGGAAGAGGAGATGGCAGCAGCAGGATATGAAAGAGATAAAAAGACCAGCCTGGCTGATGATTCTTCAAAAAAAAGGAAAAAGGTATGAGGTGCCCTACTGCTGGCCTGGAAAAGTAAGCCAGATAATTTGTTCTGTATAGTTACATCGGTGATTTACTACAGCAGTGTGGTTATGAGTAGCCAGTTCTGGGCTGAGGAGGTGGCTCAGGTTTGTGCAGATTCTGTAGCAAAACAGGAATCTCCTCTGCAGACTTTTTAGTAATTCTAGTACTTTTTACCTTTATTCTTCTTAAACTGTCTTTAAGATGATTTTGTGCTATAATACACAGTCCTCAAAAAGTATTTCTTACAGTGAGAAAAGGATTTTTTTTCCCTTAGTTTTTGTGATGCCCTATAGAAATGGCTTCAGTTTCTTGAATTTCTGTGATTCTTGCCAATAAACCTGTTTCCCCTCCCTTCTCGCTTCTCTTGCCCTAACACCTTTTTTTAATCTGAACTAAATGCCCTGCTGCCTTGCTACAGTGAGTATCCTGACCCAGGCAGTGCAATGTGAACTAGGCTTATCTACAAATGGCAGGGGAAAAGCGCTGGTTGTATTTGCAGAGGGAGTGTACTCCGTTTCCAGGCTCTAAAGCAATTTTTGTCTGTGTGAAAATGTCAAGAGGTAGGAGACTCTTTATATGTGGTGTTTGAACTCTGGCTTCAGAGCATGCTGGTATAAAATGTAAGCGAGACCTGAATCCGAAACCAGAGCTTTTGGTAGTCAGTCTGTTTATACAGCAATGAGTATTCCAATTCTAGACTTCAGTAAACAAACTGTTTCATCAGTCCCTTCACAACTGGAGTCCAACTTTTAATTACACTTCCAAAGACTTTTCTCTTTTTCCTTTTTTGTTCTTTCTCTTTCCTGCTCTGTCGCCTGTCTGTATCCCTGGAGAGGGGAAACAGGCAGGAAAGGTGGTGGATTTCCTTTTTGCAGGAGAGGGACAACGACAGTGTTAACGATTCTGTAGTGAGAACTAACCTCTTGAGGGCTTAGTTCTCTCAGGCTCACTGGGGAGTTGAACCAGTACTGGTGCTGGTAGGAGGGACTGCAACAGGGAATGGAGGAGTCTGTTTTGATAGCAACACTCAGACCAGTCCAGAGTGACTGACACCAGTGGTGGCTGCCCCAGAGGAGAAGTGCCGGGTGTGTAGTGATTTGTGTCAGCCCCTGCCCTGTGGCATACCTGTTTCTGCCCTAGTCAGTACAAAACAAAGTGAGCATTAATTTGATGCCTAATTAGATGCAGTTCTTGTTTGTTCAGTAGTGTTCCGGATAGCTGATCCAGTAGCAGGAACGGGATCTCTCTTGACTGTAGATCCTGTTGCCTGGTTCCATCCCAAGATCTGCTTTGCTTTCCTACTATGTAGACCTTATTCAAGAATGACTTGGACTTGTCTGCAGAGTGTTGTTATACTGTGATAGAAAATACACGTGATCTTCTTTCTATTCTGATCTTGGAAGCACGCAGTTGAACCAAGTCATCTCTTGCATCCCAGGCTAACTGTGACTCTGACCTTTCTCAACTCCAGATGTTGGACTTCTCTCTTGCTGTGAAGCAGTGTAAGAGCAGGCTGTTAGTAACATTTCAGCTGGGCTGGCTTCTCCTGCCTGGAGTTCTCTTCCCTCTAGCTGTGATGATGGCTTGTCTAGTAAAGGCTTGTGCAACTTATTTAAATACTGTGGGAGGAGTATATAATGTGTAAGTGTGTGTTATATATATATATATATGGAGTATATAATACAGGGGGAGGCAAGGGGGGGCGGAATTACACTAAGAGGTGCGCAAATAGCTCGTTATCATATCAGTGCCTGTTAGCATATCAGTGCCCGTCTACCAGGGTGAGGATTCCCGGTGGAGTCTTGCCCTGCTGAGACTACAGGATGTGTGGGTCACTGTCCTGAATTTGTTACTGATTTTTTTTTTTAGGTCTCTGGATTAACAGCCTTCCTTTACATCTTACTTGTTCCTTTGATCTTCCTCTCTTCTCAAGGAGGAGATCAAAAGTTTTCCGCTGTTTCCCAGTGCTGGAAAATAAAACTTTGAGCTTTTAGAGGCAGGATGTGGGATCCTCAAAATGAATAGCTCCCTTGTTGTCTTGAGTGCCTGCTGTGATCTTCTCTGGGAGTCACCATGTGCTTCCCTGCTTGCCTGGGGCCCCAGGGGGATTTACACAAAGTAGAAATAGCTCAGTCTACCTTGTAACAATTGCCTTGCTGACCCCATCCCATCTGATGCTTGTAACATAAATGTAGAGTTTGTATTTTTAAACGAGTAGACGGGGAACTGCTATCTACCAAGCATCCTTTTAGTGTCATATCAATAGCATAGCGTTTTTGGTTGTTCATGATTAGCATTTTCTGTTTCCTTGATCTGATGCTTCCTTGCAGTTTCTGCCTGCTCTTTCTTCTTCCCAGAGATTGTTCTCCTTACAGAGATATTCTGGGATCCTCACCCCCTTTTTTTCTCGACTTACCTTTCCCAATGGTTCCTCAGTTCCTCACTTTTTTCCTGCCTGGGCCCCACAGCATTTATGGGATTGAGACAGCTGTAAGCTTCAGTTCTCTGCACTGGCACAGCCTTCTGGTGTGACCGTAGGCACAAGCCTTTCTAGAGACAGATCATCCTGTTAGTACTCCGTATGAGAGCACTGTCCTGCTTCCCGTAATCCCTGAGAAAATAAGCGACTGGAGGGAGAAGTGGGGATGCTGCTGTTGTGGTGCTGTGTGGAAGTACAGGAGATCATCCGAGGAGTCGCTGACAGCTGTGCGGGCATGTGGCTGTCCCTTTCGCTTTTACTCTTTGGGTCGCGGGGTGAAGGAGCTCCTATGGGAACGCAGCGGCGTGCCTGTGCCGAGCTTGCGTGGGAGAGAGGCGTGCTGAGAAGAAATGAACCTTTCTGATTCTTCGTTCTGCTCTGTCTTTCAAGAAAAGAGCTGCAGCTTCGACAGTAGGAGTAGCCCCTCTAATTTAAATTCTACAAAAGCATCCCATCTTCTGCTCACATACTTTGATTGATTTATCCCTGGGGTAGTTTTGCAATGGTCGCTGGAATTGCATGGTAAATGTGACCTGTGATGACTTTTCGGCAGACTTCGCTGCTCTTTCTCCCACTGCGTAAAAGATTTCCTTGCAGATGTTGTCTCGTCATGTAAAAACCACACCTTCTTAATTGTTGTTTGTTCAGTGACCTGTGTTCAGCATGCTTTAGTCCATTCTCACTTGTAGTTGGCACTTGTTTTACTAGTTCTTAAATGGCATTAGCTTAGGGCACAACTCTTCATACACTATGCTGTTCTCTTACTGTCCTGATCTGTGCTTTTCTGAACTTTGCTGTATTTATTTAATGGCCATAGACTGGATTCTTATCAGATTAATTCTGACTCGCCCTCAAACAAGGGATGCAATAATACCTTTAGATTTACATAATGAATCTTGTTTGGAATTAAACTGGGTGGTGGAATTCTGCTTTTTTCTTTTTTTTAAGAATAAAAAAAAGACCTAGAAGAATTACTGGCACCTCTCTGGTGATGCAGAAAGACACATGTCTGGAAATCCATTCTAATTTTTCACAAGGACAGATAGAGTCTCTGAATGAGACCATAACTCCACAAAAGGGTCTGGCAAAAAATATTTAAACTTCTTGGAAATTTCTAGACACTCCCTTCTTATCTCAAAATCAAATACCTTTAGAAGGAACGAGCTGTTGTAACATTCTTAAAGCACAGCCTGGAGCAACTTTCCTTACAAAGGACAGGAGAGAACCTAGTGTACTAATGTGGTCCCCTCTTAGTGCCTGCTTTTTAAGAATAAGTAGAGCAGTCGGAAAAACAGCACCATCAGGCTCTAGCCCAGCCTGTTGCTCTTTTGCCTGCCAACTCCCAACGTGGGTTTTGTAGAGGGGAGACTTTGAAGCAAGTTTGTTCTGTTCTGATAAAATTGTAGTCGTTACAGAAATTGGACAGGATGTGCAAGGAACTGTAACGTGCAGATCTTCATACTTGTTGACCCTCTCTGCATCTTTAAACTGAGAGCCTGCTTGGGCAATATCCACTCAAAATGTGTACAGAAATGCAGTGTTTGCGGTTCTGGGGGAGCTCTTGGGTGTGCCTGAAAGCTGAGTCGAGTTTCATCCATGAGCAGCCATCAGTTCTGGAGACCAGTTTGAAGCTCAGGGTGTGGCAGAGCTTTGCTGCTGTTGCTGGAGGCAGAAATCTGGCCTTTGCTTTGGCACTGCCCTTGATATGTAAACTAGAGAAGGGCTCCGGCTTGCGCAACGGTGAGTCTCCTTCTCAGGAGATACTCAAAACCTACCTGGATGTGATCCTGTGCAACCCGCTCTAGTTGAACCTGCTTTGGCAGGGGGGTTGGACTAGATGATCTCCAGAGGTCCCTTCCAAACCCGACCAGTCTAACCAGCAGAATGCTTGTACTCAGTGCTGGGATACTGGAGTTTAAAGAAATCTGTGGTTTAATAGAAGGATGCTGCTTGTGCAGAATGATTTCACAGCAGCATTGCCTCCTGCTACAGAAAATGTTAAGCTCTTCTGTTGCTGGCTTGCTCCCTGCAGTATTTGCAGTCCGGTGTGTGCTTATATGCTGTGGTGCTTGCATTACTGCACTGAAAGTACTTTTTCTGTGTTGGTCTGAGCAGTTTGGCTGTTCGAAGTCCCCAGAACGGGGAGACTGAGGGTTTTGGGTTTGGTTTTGGGTGTTTTGTTTTTTCTTCAGCCAGCACAATGTCCACGTGTGTACTTTTATTTCCCCTCTAATCCTGAAGGAACGTGTGTGACATCCTGTCCTGTCTTCAGCCTTCACACGCTGAGAAAGTTTCCCAAGCTCTGGAATGAAACTCTGTTAGTTGTTAAGGTCTTGTCAAACTTTCTCACCATGTGCACAGGCTGGAAAAGCTTGAGAAAATTCTCCTTACTGCATCCGTTTCTCTAAAAGATTTAACTCTTTACCATCCTCTTCTTCTAAAGACTGTTATGATTTGTTTCTGCCCTTCATCTGTGGGTAGGGGACTTGGTAGTGAGTG